CGGCCGCGTAGTGAGTGATCTTGACGACTGGCTTCAAGTGCTTACTAATAAGTTGATTGACGTCGTCAACTTTGAATGGCAGTTATAGGAAAACTTTCAATTTCTTGGTTTATCACTTTGGCCCTATCCCGGTGACCTTACACTTAGTACCACCTCCATCCCATTCTCGTTCGCTTCTATAAAATTCCATCCACTTCAGTCTTGTCTTCGTTCCATTGGTTATTCTGCCAACTATATAAAAATCACATTGACTGCAGTATGTACGTGTACAGATGCAGCGAAAAGGTCCAGGATACATTGTGCAAACATTTGTTTCTCACCCCTGTTTTAAATCACATTCACCGAAAAGATCAATCTCGCGACCGGTAACGCCATCTACTGACAAGTACTGTTTTCTTTATTTGGAAAATTTAAAAACGTTTAACCACAGAATACTCGAGAATTATCGATTCTGCACCTCCATAAGCAGAATGAAACCGTCTCGCACCAGATGCAAACACAACAAACTCATGAATGAATTGCCGGTCATTACAACTGTGGCGATGTGATAAAACGGGCCACACAGCATCATCTGGTTTAGTCTCAGTCAGACTACAAACCTCCCTTCGACACACCCTTTTGATCTTACCCGGTTTACCACAGACATTACATATCCCTCGACAAAATCGACAGGTAGAGCTCAAATGGATTTCACCACACGGCGTGCATCAACTGACGATCTAAGCAGCCTTATTATTTTTGGGGATGGCACGTTGGGTGGTGTCTGGGCTTGGCTGTCATATCCTGGATGCACCGCTTTGGAAGTATTTAAAAAAAATAAGATTGTGGTTTTCGTATCAGCAGCTGCGTTTATGTCTACGTACTGTTCACAAACCTTGCGGGCCTCTGCAAAAATCAAGCCACTTTGCTCTATCAGTCTACGTTGCAAGGTAATGTTATTGATTCCGCCAATTAGTGGATCATGCAGTTGTTCACCCAGACGATGGCCGTTGCTAAAACGTGAAGCCCGATTGTTCAGCAGCAGAATGAATTCTCGACATAGCATATTCTCATTCCGGATCAATGAATTAAATTTGGCCCGTTCGGTTGACTGAAAGGCAGAACATGATCCAGCAGAGGTGTTTTAACTCTTCAAACGACAATTTTGCGTGTGCTTTGGGAAACGCTAGGTCCCCCAAGAATGAACATCATTCACGCCCTCCAGCAGTGAGAAATAGTGCTGATTTGTCCTGATTTCCTCCTTTACGGAAGCTGCACCAAAGTTCAAATCACTACACCCAGTCTTCAATCTGTGACAGATCATTTAGCAAACTCAGAGGTCCGATGGACAGCGTCTGCGTGCCGTGGCGCCAAATGTATTGACAGAATTGCCGGAGTTCTAACCAAGATACACCAAACGGACACTAACGTGTATTGGTCCAAGGGTTTTTTCTCGAACTGCAAATGAATTAGACAGAATCACCACAACCTCCTTCGAGTTGGGAACACGGATCGTGATGCAAACGCGGCTACCCTAGCCTGATTATTATGAATCTGGGATAATACAGCCCCCAGGCCGCCGTCTGAGGTGTCAGTCGACTGAATGGTATCTAGGTTCTCTCTGAAGATCACTACCCGCACTGCCTCCGTGTGGTGAATCAGCGGGCATCACACGTGACAAGACCAGGCACAGCTTCGTGACTGCGTACGCTGAGGAGCGTCAACCAATCAGAATCGCTGAGGTCAGTTACAGAAAAGCTCGCTGCGATTGTTCAACCGGTCATCTGTCAATATTTTTTTACATATACTAATCAGTTTTAAAATACAATTAACCTGTTATTCTTCAGCTTTGATCTTCTGCCTAATTTGGTTTGCGTAGTTCCCAGTGGGAGCGATTTCTACACGTCCTATCAGTTCGGGTATTGCGAATACTACAAGTAGATTCCATCGAACCAAAATCCTCTTGTTCGCCGGACCACATCAAAATTCACCATCCAACCTAGTGAGCCCTGTAAAGGTTTCCGAAACTGTTGAGAAATTCTCAGGACGACGAAGATAATGAGAACATAAACCGGGAAATTATTTTACTCGACCAGAGGTTTGTGTTGTTGGACAGTTCAATATCGCTCGAACGTTGTCAGCTATCGAACGGACCCCATCGACTGGCATAACATGACTCAGGAACTCAATTTCAGGCACCGCAAGTAAACACTTCGCCGTATTGAAACGGTAATTCAACTCCTTCCTTAGAAGCACCAGAGCACACAAACTGTCATGATCATCCTCGCATGAAGAACCAAAATTTCAAATGTTGTCCATGTAGACAGTCCGTCCCCGCAGGTCAGTCAAAGCTAATGTGAAACACGTCTACCTAGCAGCAGGGGTACTGCCTAAATCCATCGACAGCTCTTCGTACTGGTAAATGCCGTCCTGTGTTAGAAAGGCTGTCGGTAGCTTGGAGTCATCGGCGAGAGCCATTTGAAAACATGCACACGCGAATCCAACTTAGAAAACAATTTAGCTCCAGAAAGTTTGACGAGTAAGTCCTCAGCTTTTGGAAGAGGAAACTTTTCGATAATGATTTGCTGTTCAGCATCTTGAGATAAGTGCATATTCTGACGCGACCATCCTTCTTTAACACTGCAACAAGAGAATGAACCCATTGAAAGGATTCAACGGGTTCAATAAAACCATTGTAGTGACCACGATCGTACTGAGAAACTGACCATTTTCTGGACATCATTTCGGATTAATTTTCTCTGCGAACTCTTCTGACACTTGGTTACAATTCTACTGTTTTGTTTGGTTGCGTACATTTAACTGAACTGACCTTCCCGAGGTTTCCGTCGTCCTCGCTTTTGGATCACTTTCATTTCGGTTTCGCGCCTGCTGTACACAAACTAGGTTTGCTTTCCGCTTCACCGTAGCGTTCGTTTGCCTTCGTGTTTTTCTCGTGTCGGTACTGTTTCGGTACCACGATATTAGGAATGCACTCCTGCCACTGACCACCAATTCGATTCTTCTCTATTTACCCCATAGAGGGGATTTCGTTGGTAAATTGCCGTGAGACCTCATAGAGGACACGTTCATATGTCGAACCCGGGCGTCTTCTATACTACCACAACGGTTACCCGTTTGACAAGAGGAACTGGTCGAGATTGGGAAAGGGCGAAATTACCACCCGTATGTTGCGAGACAATACGATGTTTCACTCGATGAATATTCCCGATAATCTCTTGGAATAGTTTAGGTAACGAGGGCCGCAAGTGTCCGGTTAGGATTGCAGAAACGCTCATTCTATCAATGTGTGGGGATGGTTTTGGGTCTACCGTAGCATTTCCACCAAAAAGTTGTTTAATATTGAAGCTAGAAACGTCAGTAGCGACATCCCTTTGCAAAGTGCCTTTCAAAAGGAAAACGACAGAAAACGATTCCTAGAATAGGGACGGGATTGTCGGAACAGCTGTCAAATCTGTATAATGATTTTCGAAGTGGTATATGCATGAAGTGTTCCCAGTAGAAAGCATGAGGGTTAACATTGATGGGTGATGCAGAATCAAATTCCATATGCAAAGAAAGAACCCTAAGCGGAAAAACAAAATACACTCGGCGAATATCAGAAGAAGGTTTTCGGGGTTCAACAGAGTAAGAAAAATGTACAAATGAACGTGAACTAACAGTGCAGATACAGTCGTCACTCGGTATAACATTCGTTGAATTACCCGAAAAGTCATCAATCTAGGAAACAACGCGTGAACGACAAACATCAGCAACATGACCCAACTTACCGCAAATGCGGTACTGGGATGTAAAAACTAGGCAGTTTTTTGAATTTACGAGAAATTGATTGCTGCAACAGCAATAACACCGTGACGATTTTGTGGACTTGCAGGAAGTTGCTGATCGCCATAGTGACGCTATTTCTCCTTTGACATCCGTAGCAAGAATTATCTGGTTAGTCTTGCGTACTGTAATTTTTACTTGAACAATACCACCTACAACGGTCCTATTATTGTGCTGACAATTTCCGCCAGCATGACCTCACGAACGCAGGGTTCCGTTGTCCCAGCAATCAATTACTATATTCGCAATACTTCCTCCAGTTTTTCATTAGAATTGGTATTTTAAGCACATGGACGTACGGCACACGTGATCCATACAACAAAACCCCCTGCGAACTCACCTGATGCCTGGTGCAGTTGTGAATAACTGTAGCGAGCCACTTATGGGTCCATAAGTGAATCAAAATCTTTATCCGAGGCAACAATGGCGTCTTCGACAGTTTTGTTTGTAAGGTGCAGTGCATCAAATAGGCACCTGCATTCTGCACCAATGTGTAAGCATAGTAGTTTCACAATGTCGTAGTCAGTGATTTTTGTATAAGGGTCGAAACCGGAATGGCAGAAAGCAATGCAAAAACGTGGTTTTTTATGAGTTTCACAATTACAGAAATGACCTTTTGGAAGCGGAAGTGACATTATGTAAGGTCGTGGCCATGACGCCAAATGTTTAGTCAAGAAACCAGTTAATAGAACGAAATTACATATGCACTGTAGAACCTGCATTCAGGATCTACGTTCGGCAAGCGCAAGCCTAAGCATGTTTCAATCGGACGAAAGTGTTCAATCGATATAGTCACACACACGGAGCTAGCTGCATGTGAATGTTAGAACAGGTCGAAGCAGGGCATGATACAGACAGACATTGGACGTGCGAATGCAAGGCGAACAATATAGGAATGGATAACGAGCGAAAGATGACTACACATGAAATGGCATCTCAACAGGCTTTATTTCACTACTGTGAACCGAAGCAACACGAGGCAAACGTGTACACTGAGTACCGGTTCGTCTGTGGTCGGAAAATCTAATGTTACCAGTGCGGGCGCACAGGTACACCACGAACAACACATCAAATGTGTCAGAAAGGAATCTCTGCTGCACTTTGACCATCTATCCAAGATACATGACTGATGGGGGTGAATATAGCAACTTACATTTGATCATTCCTTTCCAGTAGTTCTAATTCGATAAAGCAGGGCTTCTTGTTTGACCTCTTCCAAGGTTCAACGATTCCACTTGTTCAGTGGTCGCCCATTTGTCGTAAGGTAAGTGCTCGGGCAAATACATTGGTCGGATAGAGTCAAATGCATGCGAACAATCCTTGGCAGGATCATCAAAAGCCTAAAAGGCATTTCAAAGTTGGGCTTAGTAGTCATAAACAAATAAAAATCTCAATCGATATTTGATGTTTTTCCCTGCAGATCATACAGAAAACTCTCCGCAATGTCGTTTTTTACCATTTTCATCCGCAAATTAATCCACATCTCTTGAGATAGGTTCAACAATCAAAGTTGAAAAGGATAACAAGAGTTTTCTGGCTTTACGATAATCGTTTAAAAGCTGTGTGTGGATCAAAAGCCATGAAAGGAAAATATCAAATAACTCATTTTGATTGCACTATATTTGAAAGCGAGACCCAAGATTATTCGGTAAATTAAAGTACCAGTTTACATTCTAACAGGATAAAACACATCTAGTAAGTGATTTCTGGAGTAAATGTGTCATGATATAATGTATTCTTTAGATACGCAGGCGTGCAAACTGAAGAAGATAGAGTGTGTACAAACAAGTGTACAAGTTAACCGTAATACAGGATTTAGTCAGCAAAAACTATGGGGTATCAATCATGGAATATTTGAAAAGTTGCTTATCACCAGACTGCGAGAAACGAAAAAAAGCTTTGGGAAATACGTTCTTTAAATGCTCACATATATAGCAGTTTCACATAAAAAAGGCCCGCGATTGAAGTGGAGATCAGGAGCAAAGGAATCAAGTGAACAGACTGCACTCGGACAAACCGAAATAGAAATATGACACGTGAATTCGATTGGTCGCGTTTGTTTACCTTGTTAACACTATGCCACGTAATTTGATTTGTGTAGTTCGTACCGTTCATGTTGTCATAACGCACACATGCGATCCGGGTATATGTTGTGTTAGTCTCAATATGAATGGATCAGAAATCGTATTTTTAACCGAAACCGCCGATCTATTGAGAAGAAGTTTTGAAACCATCCCAAGCGGTAAATTTGAGATTACCCTTATTATGTTGCAGGTCTACTCGAAACATATTCAGAACAGCGCAAATGAACACGTTCTGTTCTCGTACATGGCGGTATAATGGTAAGGAATATGGAACAGTACATCTTCAGTTACGAACAAATAGTAGTAAGGCAGTGGGGCAATAAAACTCGTGACTTGATTCGATGTGACGAGTGATTTTATTCGGAATGCAGACTAAAGCAATTTCTAATTTAGCATAGAGTACTGATTGTTCTTGGGTAGCCAATCTGGATATGGTCCATTTTGTCATCTCAGTAAGTTGATCGAATATTCTGACTTCGATTTTACAACTCTCAACTGACCTTGTAGCACTGTTGCATGCTCTCCACTATTATTAGTTGCACGCTTACCAACGGGTGTACGAATATGTATCATCGAAAACACTTACTATTTGTGATGACATGAATCAACGAGCAGTTAAAGCTTACAAAATATGTTGAACCAAAAACAAAGCTGAACCCATTTTGTACTTTTAGTTACCTTCAATCAGATTGGAGCAAGTTACTCATTCACTATCCAGGAAAACAAACCCGTCGGTCGAAAGTACGAGCACGACAATAAATTCCCACATAACCAGAATGGGGACTCGAATCACAATCAGAACCACGACCACAGACACAAAATATAAGTTCACGGCTCTACTTTGTCATATGGAACTCCACGTACTGTGGTGGGAAATTGTAGTGACCTCGAAGAAGCCTCACCCTCGTGGTTTTTTCATTCTGCTCTGAATGAGTGCTTGTGTTTTTTGATAAACGAGTGCACTACCTATCAGTTGTGAGAAACTAAGTTGCGGCAATCGAAAGAATAAAACTTGAAGTTCCAAGTGAAGTGAATTCACACACGAGTGAGTAAGTCTGCACACCAAAGCTCACGTGTACTGTCGTGTTTGGCTTGTGCTGTCGTATGCACACAAGCACGCTTTATCTACACCCCGTGAAATCACGGACACTCGCCTGCAGTCGTATACACACGTACACAGTTTAAGTTTGCCGTGTTTCCTTCCGGACGGCACTGACTGGTTAGATCGTACCAGGACTTGCATGACCTTCCATGGCCTAATCCGATTGTACAAATGTCTTACACTTTCGATTGCTTGCATCACTGACTCATACACTTGCATACAAGTTTATGTTTTCAATTGCTTGCATGTACTGGTGCTCAACGTACATTGCTACAAAATACATGTTTATTCGTACACGTGTGCCTCCCTTCTACTTGCCGAATTCGCGACACATCACGTACTTCAGCGTAATTTGATCTCCGAGCCTGAAAGAAGTCGGGGAAAGTAAAATAGATTACAGTCATATGTGAAGCTGAGTCTAGTTCCATTTTTAGAGAATGTACAATAATTACGTGTTCGAAATAGACCGTACGAGTACCAGGTAAAGACAATTTAGGCTAAAACCTGTTCAATTCTGTACCAGGTGAACGAGTATTCAAGGCGTAAATGTTATCAAAAGGCTGATTTGTGGAACATAAATCACTAGAATTCATGTCACACACGTGAGAAACAGTACGTTTACGACAAACACGAGCAAAATGACCATAACTACCGCAAATGCGGCACCGGACTTTTACCGCGGGGCAGAGTTTATAGTCAGCTTTCTGTTGGGTACTTTCGGATCTAATGCAGTAAACACGTTGTTTAAAGACGCGATCCATATTCGGTGCGATAGCTCTGATGCGAGTAATATCCGTACCAACTGCATCGGAGTGAAATAGTTTCACCTGCTCATTATTATCACTTTTCGTACGTGCAATGCCACATGCACTGTCCCAATTGAGTTTGAGGGAATTTTCTGCAAGTATAGCTTCACCAATTTCTTTGATCACAAACGCCCGAAACCAATTGCTGAATAAGAAGCAGCTCTTCATATTTATTTGATGGCACGGAGTTGTAGTCGCAGCGGCATACCGCACAGAAGGGCCGAGATATGAAATCATCAATTTTCTCTCCGGGCTGCTGCTTCATGATTGAAAATTTGTAACGTGCCACATGGGCATTTATACGGGGTCCCCAATGTTTGTCTAATGTTTCCAAACCATCCTTCAACGATGTTCTCAGGCGCAAACCCAATGCGTCAAAAAAGCCTTCGTCTTTCATCTCCCAGATGTAATCGAATAAGTTTCAGCTTGTATTCTTCTGAAAGCTTGATGCTAGTATTAAAGATGGACAAAATCTCCCATTATCGATGAAAGTAGACTTCCACAAATTCCACGAATCTGAGGATGGTTTAACAGCAGCATCGATACAAAATTGATCTGCAGCACAATTGAAGCTGCCATTCCACAGGTTTGAAGCCGCAGCGCCAAATGTTGTGTTCACAATTCGGTAACAGAAGAAAGGCGTACACGTATGGATAAACGTATATTCTCGTAGCAACGTACGGTAATCGCCAGTATAAAAGAGCACGTGACAGCGCAAACGAAAGCACGAGCACGTGAGTCACTCGTGTATGTAATCGGAAGTGTATGACAACGGTACAATCGGATTCAGTCGTGCAAAATCGTGCAACAGATGATAGGATCTGATTGGTCAATGCTGTCCCGGATGAAGCACGGCACACAGCTGTGTACGCGCGTGTGTGCACAGGCAAGATTGCCTGTATAAGCACATGCCTGTTCAGGCCAAACAAAACAGATACTAACTCGTTTATACACAGTAATAGGCATGCTTTGATTGACAGATAACGTGGTGCCCAATCACAAGGCGTAATCGTTGTATATATACGATCTAACAGTTAAAGCCTGGCTTCACCTGGTGTGTTAGATACTGGAAATGAAGCTGTAACGCACTGGACCGCGTGTGGAAACAGTCGAATCATTACAGTAATCCGCAGCCAAGAAATATTTTTCCCTGACTAGGACCTTTCACGCCCCGGCTTTATCGCTACTAGCCCTACGGACCTCATTGGTAACCTTTTACAAACCTATATTGTTGATCTCTCCCAACAATCATCATCTTGCCATATCTTTTCTCTTCAGCCTAATCGATTAATGCCTGTTCCAGACTCTAACCGGTCCACTCCTTTTCTGGTTGTGAGGGATAATGTTTTGCTGTAAAATCTTAAGGGTAGCAGAAAGCAAGAATGCTTTTAAAATTCCATCACGAATAGACCATGACGTGATGGGGTGGCTTGTGTGCCCTTATGACCTAAAGAGCTACACAATATGGCTTATTTAAGCCGGAGATGCAATCATGCCGACAGGTCGATGGATAGGGGTCAGACAAAGTCCAGTCTATGAACCAGTTCATTAACAACATCTGGTTCCAACCACTATGCCCCTGGAGAATGCATTCCAGGAAATAAACACTGAGGGAAACAGTCTACTGGTCTAAAAACATCCAATAGACGGACATGGGAGTGGAGTACCTGGAATTTCTCTCGACGGTGGGAGACTTCGTCGCACTTCGTTGGGCAACTTTCACCCGCCTAACCTGGGAAACCCCGGCCAAAAGGAAGCTGCTCTGTCCACGTTCCGCTTGCTCCATTGGGTTCATGGGTCTCAGGACTGAATCTGAAAAGCGGATCGATAACAAAACGCTAGCGAAGACAAGACAGGTTACATGCATCAATCAGGTTTCACCTGACACACCAGAAGAAGTTTCTTTCACAGGTTCTTCGGTCACTTTTCCATGTTGGGTTAACGCCCCACTGCCTCATTGGTCAGACATTTGAGTCAAAGACTTTGGTTAGGGTTCCTAAAGAAAAAAACTCTGTGCGGTATGGGAAGCCGCGAAGTACGACTCGTCCGTAAACCTCCAGCATTTTTCCTGTAAACGGTCTCACCAACGTTTCCTCCCTCAATTCAAGATCAATAAAAAACGCCACGGATAAATACGGCTCTGAAGAAAGCAGTAGTTCATTATTCGGGAGCAAACTGAATGCACCCTTAAGCCTAAATATTTACTTCACTTGGGTGCCTTCAACATCCGCGCACTATGTCAAATAAGGCAACAGGCTGCCTCCGCCATACCTTTTGACAGTTCCAAGATAGATATATGCTGTTTTCCCGAAATGCTCATAAAAGACCCCATTTCTGTGCTCACTGTTCGCACCCCAGATACAACCTCAAAACTTCGCTTTACTGTTTGTGTGTCGGGTTGTTCCGTCGCTAGTGCTAGTGGTCAGGCCAGCGTTGGGATTACCTTGAGCATGAGAGCTGAGCTTGCAATGCTGGACTGTATCCAAGTCAGCAATCGTTTGTGTGCACTTCCGTTGAACGGTTCTGTGCATTTCAACAGCAACAAACTGAAGCTTTGGTGCTTGTTCGTCGTGTCTGTGTGTGTGCACCCACTGATTGCAGTTTTTCTGATGTCAAAGACGAACTCTAAAAAGATTCTCCTCAGCTACTTCAAGTCGTGCTTCCAACCGATGTGCTGATCATTGCTGGAGATTTCCAAGTCCGAACTGGCCTTCTGGGAGAATTTGGAAGGCACATCGGAGGCCCGTTTGCTATCCCAGTCGGTCGTACCGATAACGGTAACCGACTCATTCAGCTGTGCTGGAACCACAGATTGTTTCTGGCAAGTACAAACTACTGTCCTAAGAAGTGACGTAGACTGACATGGTGTCCCCCTACGTCGTCACAAAGTTGGACTCAGAGTGGCAATACTGTGATTGGTTACCGCTGGCGTGGATCAGTTGAACATAGTCGTTCAATTTGGTCACGCCTTTGGACTCAGATTACGCCTTGAAACGTGTTCGCGTCTGTTTACATCTAATCCGTGGTAGCAACAACGTAAATACTATCCGTCTTTGGCAGTTGATTCTGCACGATAACCGATGATCTGCTTTTCAGGCGAAGCTGTCTACACGGTTATCGATGTAGTCAGATGTGCACGAACCAGATAAACGCTGGCAATAAATCCATGAAACATAGCATGCTGCTTCTAATGTCACACAAGACTCTGGTTCAAACAGGCCTCAAAAACGATGGATATCTCAGACATCAAATTCTCTGTTGGATGCTCGAAGATATGTCCCTCTAGATGCCTCATTCAACCAAACGAGTAAATCCATGAGGAGTCAACTGACTAGGATCCAGGGAAAGGATCACGACCATTGGTCATTTGTGAAATGCAGGGGAATCGAAAAGGCTGCATCCATTGGCAACGCTTGCAACCTATACCGTCTGGTCAGAAGTACCGGTACTTGGAAGCCTGGTATAAGTGAGTTTATCCAGGTATCCGACCACTCACTGATTCAATCTCACGAGTGTCATCTGAACCGTTGGGCGGAACACTTAAGGGAACAATTCAGTTGGCCCACTTCTACAGTGGACCTTCTTATATACTTGCCAGAGGAACGATGCAGGTGGATATCACTCCTCCGTCAGAGGTGTAGGTAGGAAAGGTGACAGGTATTCTTGTGTTAACCACAGAAGAACTAGTTTGGTAATTACCTCATTCAAACTGCTCATCAGACCTATTCTGCACCGATTATCCAGTGCCCGCGAAATGCGCGCGCGTGGGAATCAAGCCGGTTTCTCACCCGGCCGGGGTTGTTTTGATCACATCTTTATTCATCAACATATCTGAGGGCACAGGCACCACTTCAGAAGACCGAAAACCTGTAATTTTCTTGATCTGAAAACGGCATTCGTTTCATTCAGCCGCACAGTTATCTGGGGCTGCCTCTCATTGAAGGTTGTACCAGATAATTTTATTCCTGTTTCAGTTGACTGATTATTCCCAATGAGCACATTATGAGAAGACAGATTGGCGAACAAGCTCGTTTTCAGTGATTCATACTCATGCCATTACATCACAATATATTACGCTAGTGAGCGCAGTCGTTTCACACCTAGCTGAATCCAATCATACGGTTAACGTGTCCGAGGCTTTCCGTGCTCTGTATAAGATCCGGGGTCGACAATCAAGACAAGCGAAATGTCGCATCCTGGCCACTGCGGAGGCTGTCGGCATCCGCCTACACAACCCCCCTCTGTGTGCTCAAAAACAATTTGTGTGTGCTCTTAAGCTGCCCTGGCCCTCCCTCCACTCTGCAACAGGCCACAGATCAGATGAGAACTGACATAATATGCGAGGAACAATCCACATCCGGTCTTGATTAAGCCTGGATTATAATTATTTCCCTTCCTTTTTTATGTCAGCAATAATCTCTATGACTTCCTGTTTCTCTAATTGGTCCAATTCCTCAACTTGTCGTAATATATTGTGATGTAATGGCATGAGTATGAATCACTGAAAACGAGCTTGTTCGCCAATCTGTCTTCTCATAATTTTATTCCTCTTTACAAATGTTGTTTTCAAACAGTCGGAGCCGAGTTCATGCGCACGG